TATATATATATTGATATTAATAATATTATTAGCAAAATCTAAATTTAAATTGAAGAATCTCAAAACTTTAAATTTAAATAACTATTATCAAGGACTAAGTCCCAGACTTAGAAAAAGGAAAACTACTCAAATATATTCATAAATAATCTTTAATAAAAATATTATAAAAAAAAATTAAACAAATCAAATGAAAAAAGTTAAAAGAAATTATTAGATGTCACTTTTCATCCTAAGCATAACAACTCGTTCCACTTTACAACTATTCAAGTAATTGTAAATAATTTAGGAACAAAATTTGGTATGTTTATCCAGGTAAGAATGTAGCATTTAAAAATTGGAAAAACAAACTAATTGGCATGCCCATGCCATAAAGGCATGTGACTTACATTAAGATAATTAGTGGGCAAGTTTCACTACATGTTGATGATAGCTCCTTGGGTTAATCGGGACCTATTGATGTTGGTGGGTTCTTTAGAGATACAAAAGCTTGATCAATCAGGGAGTTTCATCGGCAATATTGACATAGTTGATAATACCTATAATTAGTTTCTTACTTTGTTTTGAGGATTAAATATTATTTGGAGTCAAAAATTTACTCTAGTAGTTTGTTGTTCAAATTCTACTTATACTTTATCTTTAATAATAAAATCTTGTAAACCTTTCCTATAGTAAGTTTCTTACCTTGTTTTGAGGATTAGATATTGTTTGGAGTCAAAAATTTTCTCTAGTAATTTGTTGTTTAAATTTTACTTATACTTTATATTTAATAATAAAATATTATAAATATGTAAAGATTATTGAAAGTGTTAGGGTTTTCTTGGTGAAACCTTGAAATATTCTCCTTAAGCATATCCTTAAGGGGGACAAGGGATGTGCAAACACTTTGACAAAATTAAATTCAAACTTTGATGTTGTATTGAAAAAGTTGTAAGCCCTTTCTATTGAACACCACCACTTATTGTTAACTAATGTGAAATAAGTGTTTTATGTATGTTTATGATTTTTTCCTTTTTTTTAATCTTACATTACAAAAAAATGTCTATGCCAATAAATAACACACCCATGTCAATTGTATCAAAATATGTGACTAATAAAGTAAGCCAATATACACGCTCTTGCCATTTGTATCAATTCAAAATCTTTTATTTTCTTTCCATACAGTTACTTGATGATTATGCAAGATTTTAAAGGTTTAACATATACTAAACTTCATTTAGTACCAATATCAATCATCTCATGCACACATGAAAATTATCCAATGCGTAAAATATTTGATAATATTTTTTTTTGCAATAAAATGAATAATATATAATTAATGAAATGTTAGGAATAAAGATGGAGGAGTGTAATGGAAAATTTGAAGAATTTTCGAGAGAGATTAAATCAGTATAATTTATTCAAATAAAAACAACAATAAGTTCGAGCAACAACTTAAGAAAAAGTCATACTTGTGATGGATTTAAGTATATATTGGAATAGAACATTGGACATGTAAGTTTAATGAGAATTTATATTCTAATTGCTTAATAAAGCTAGACGCTATATAGCATATGAGAATATTCACTTTTCACTCATCGACAACTTCAGGAGATGAAAAACACAAATTATGTCTAGCTCCAAAATTCTTACAACAAAACAAGATCAAATTGAAGGAGCGATAGCGCACAATAGGGAACTAAAACAAAAGCAAGACTTGAAACTTTATAGGTATGTGTTGAAACTAAGGCACAACTGTCGTTATTACATAAACAGAAAAGTACAAATTAGGAAACTAAACTAAGCAATAAATGAAATTATTGATAAAAACGCACATCTATTTTAAACAACTAATAATTGAAAGCAGTGGGAGTAATGGTACTTACCTTTATTTATTTTCCTCTTATTGATAGAACAAAAATTCGTGGGAGTGAAAGGGGCAGGCATCTAACCATATATATATATATATATATCTTCATTATTAATATAATTGAACAAGTGAGATTTTCTTAAAAAATAATTTTCTTCCCTTAATTCTATCAATTTAAATAATATAAATTTATAGTTAATTTTTTTTTATTTCTTTAACTAAATTGCAGTTTTGATCTTGATGTAATTTTTAATATAAAATTTTTCCTACTCTTTTTAATTACCTAATTTATTTTCTAAATTTTAAAAATCTACGATTTTGATCCAACTATCAAATGTGTATATTTATAATATATAATATATTGACAGATAAGTTTTATCTAATAGTTATTAGGTCATATGTATGTAATAATATGACTACATGAGATATCACTATACTCCTACTTTTTGCATTAACAAATTTTTTAAACGAATGTATATCTAAAGACTTTTTAAAATTGAGATATTAAAATTATATAATTAAAAATAAATAAACAAAAATTAAAGAGAACTAAAAGTATAGTTTCACTTATTTTTTTTTTAATTTTATTTCTTTTATTTTCATCTTATATGTAAATAAAATGTACAAAAATTTAAGTTCGATCGACATATTATTCTCGCTGTAATGTTTCTTTCACTAAGAAAAAGTGTATTGCAATGAGTTACAACATTTTGATCTTAAATCCCTCCTTAGTGTTTCTCTCTCCCATTAAAAACCTCAAAATTTAAATATTTATAGATTAAAATACATTTAAAGCAATTATATAGTTTTTTTTAACAGTAATATAGGTTTTTTTTTAATAAACATTATATATAACCCACTTAATATAAAATAATGAAAAATAATTCGTCAAAGTACTAACTTTTTTTAGAATGAAGATTCCTTGCAATATTTTCTAAAACTCGATGATGTAGCATCGGTAGTAATAGGTAATAGATAAGTTAGGCTGTCATAAATCATAAACCCGTCGTCTTTCTCATTCTCTCTTCCGTAATCATGTATAAAAAAATCAAAATTTTTAATATATATTGAGATTAAAACTTATTTAAGCAAATCATACAAATTTTATTGCTTATTTAGTAATAAAAATACATGAAAAATAATAAATTTTTTTATTGCCTATTACAATGATTTTATTACTTATTTACCGAAGATTTAGGACGGAGAATGAGTCAAAAGTAAATTACTACCACATATATTATTAATTTTAAATACGAAGATTCTCAATCATATCAATATCTATATGTATATATTTTTTAAATACGAAGATTCGCAATATTTTTATAAAAGTGGAGCATATTAACACATTAACCATAGTAATAAGATGATAAGATAGGTTGTGAGCATGACACACTCACCTAATTGCAATAATGTTGAAGAAATAGTAATATGGATAATGTCATGATCCAGAAGAATAGAGCGGGCCCCACTCTCACGGTAATTGTGAGATTTGAGGAACAAGTCAAGAGTTGTCAGTGTCTTACGAGGGTAGGGCTCAGCCATTCTATCTGCGTGCCGCTCTCACACTCACTTTCACAACCCTCACCTCACTCTCTGGTATTCTCCTCTTTCCTTTTTCCCTTATCTCTTCATTTCATCTATGTACCCTTCTTTTCTTTCAGCCCTGTGCTGCTTTCTAAATGAAGGATCTGAATGGGTTTTTGAGTTCTGCTTTATATCATATGTTATTTCGGGTTATCATCAATGAAGTCTAACTGTCTAAGGGTCATTTAATCCGAAAGGGATACAAGTTGGTCAGTTTTGAAATGGAATGAAGGATTTTTTCAAGGGTTTATTTTTAGTTAATGTTGTGTTGATGCTGATGTGTGTGGTGGTGAACTGTCTTGATTGATTTGGTTTCTGGGGGACCCGTTTGGATTTTGTACACTTCTTTTCAAATATATATCCATCCATGAACCTTTGGTGATCAAAGAAAAAAAATTTTAATAGAAAGGAGAGGTGAGTGAGGGTGTGATTCAACTCTGCTGTTCAGTTTTTTTACTGGATCTGTTGCTTCTGCTTCTGTTTCTTTTTTTTTTTTTTTTTTTAAAAAAATTTTTTTTTTAC